CCAGCCCCACGCCCAATCCATATCCATGCTGGAAAGTCATCTAAACCCCACAGTGGCAAAAATAAGTAGGGTCCTGAGGCTGAATGGAAAAGCAATCCCCCGCCTAAGTCACCCGGACTCCCCCGAGCCCACCCTAGCAGGCCCCTTTGCAGCGTGAGTCACACCAGCGATAGCACAAGAACATCTGTTTGGATTTCAACAAAGGCATATGTCAAACGTTTTAGAAAGAAGAGGTAGACTGGAGGCCAGAAAAAATCACTATAAACTTTTTTTTTTCTAAATCTTGTCCCTTACTGCCTGGCACTCAGGTCAGCACCATGATTAAATGCCCAAGTTAAGCTCATCCCGTAATTTCATTCCTGCCCTCGCCAAGCAGCCGTCTGCGTTTCCTTGTGTATTTGCATTTCTGTTGCCAAATTCTGCTGTTTGTATTGGAACATCATTAAACGTGAACAAACTCAGGTGATTTTACACTCCTCTCTCCCAATGCAGAATTATGCCCTCCTGTAAAAATATTTGTTTCTGGCTGCCCTCTTTGCAGTAGGCTTTTTCCAAAACAAAACATTTCCCAGAGGCAACACAACCTATCTGACAAGTGTTTTTTTCAACTCCTATTTATAGTACTTCTTGAAGATGAAAATCAGGCACAGAGATGATTTAGAGTTGGTACATGTACCTTCTTGATCTGAAGGATGTATCACATAAACCAGACAAAGCTGCAGCCAAGGCGACGCACAAAACCAACCGACCGGAGAGCCGCTACCTGCAGGAAGAGCCAAATCCACCTGGGCCACGGCTGCACGTTTGTCCCACGCTTGAGGAGTAGCAGAGAGAAAATGGGACAAAGAAAGGACAGACAGCAAAGACAGAGCAGATAACATCTCAGTAGGAGGAAGTCTTGTTCATTAGATCTTAATCATGTGTTAACTTACAGTCATATTTTAGATACGCAACTAGCGTAATTGTCTCAAAACATTTAAAGGGGATAAATACCAACCTTATTTTCCAGGACCAGCTGCTTTCTTTCTGAGCTCTCTTGTCCTGTTGAAACTAGCAGATTTAGGAAAGTTTGCTTTTATTTATGGCTTTTAGATGGTGGCAGAATTGCATCCAAAAAATGTTAAAGCATGAATAATGCCTGCACAGCTCCGCCAGTCACAAGGTGACTCCGGTCACTTTGCACCACTCCAGACTCCCTTGGCCTTTCACGAGTGATGTTTGTATCAGATGCACAGATTTCATCAGATGCACTAAAAAAGCAGCAGAATTGCTGGTGAGAGGAGGTGGGGGAAGAAACAACCGGGAGATGTCAAGGGAGATAAACGCACAGGCTGGTGCCTGCCCGGGTTCACCGCCCGGTGCTGCCTCTGGATGCTCCTTCCCGCAGTTTGCCGCCCGGGCCCCTGCGGATCTGCCTGCGGCAGGGGCTACAACCCCCTTCAGGTGGTGCACAGGGAGCTGTGGCTCAACAGCCAGGGAGAGAGGCTGGGCAAATCAACCCTTTCCTAACTTCAGCTGGTGTCTAGCAGCACGAAGAACACTTGGCCAAGGCAAGATAAGGTCTAGTGACAAAACATTCGAGTCTACAATCCCTTCAGCCATCACAGTTGACTAATTTCTCCCCCCTGCCGCACCAGAGCCCTGCACAGTACCAAAAACCACCATCACAATCTGTCAGGTTTCTGCCAAGAACAATGTTATGCACTAGGGAAGCTGCTGTGCCAGAAAAGATGGATGAAAACATCTTTGACAAAATTAAAAAGCATCCTTTATTCAAAACCAAACCATTTAATAGGAATGCATCAATTTAAATGAAGTTCTGGTGGTGACAGAGTACAATGGCTTTGGGGGAAGGAGAGGCACTTGGATCAAACTGAAAACCTGACGCTCTCAGTGCCAAGTTGAATGTTTCAAAACAGTTTTATTTTATGTAGATGTTCACACAATTCCATTTTCACTTTAGTCCTCCATATATGTATATAAATACAACCCAATTCTTAACCTGCCAGTCAGGATCACATCTAAAATTAGAGAAATAAAGCAGACTTCAACACTTCAACCAAAACGTTTACAGATACAGTGTTGGTATGAGTTGTAGTTTTTATTTGTATTGAATGGATAGCAGACAGACACTTACAAATTAGTAACTAACCTATTCTAAATTAGTTTTATTTTGTTATATTGCTTAATGCACATTAAGAATGCTGGGGTTTTTAGGGCACACAATTACCAGTCGGTCAGTTTGGAATGATTTAGCTTCAAGAATGGACAAAAGCATCGGCAGCAGCACCCAGTGATGCTTCTCAGCAGCAGCCGCTGCCGCCAGCCTCCCCTTCCTTTTCACACCTGGGCTGGGCTGAGAACCAGCAGCATCACCATTGTAACACATCTTCTCTCTACCCCTCTCTCCCTTGTGCTTGTTATATTCTTCCAGATCAATGATTAATTGGATTTAGACCTTTTTTCTTTTCCTTTTTGCTATTGGCACTGTAAACCGTCTATCACATACCTCAGCACTGGAGATTAATAACCAGGAGTCACCTTGCTGCAGGCCATCCGACATAGAGCAGCAGGAGAGGTTTTGATCCTATTACAGTTTTGCTGCCATAAGGGCAAAAAAAAAGCACTTTATAAAAATAAAACTTCAAAGCAACTCAGCTCTCCCCCGACCGCCTCTCCAAGCCAGGTTTTATTATGATGCTAATATGCACCCTGTCTGCACAACAGACTTCACTGAATCTCATCCCGAATACAAATTACAGCTACTTTGATTTTTTTCTTAAATGTGCTGATATCCATGCTCAATGATTTCATTTAATATAACCTCCATGTTTTCTTTCTGCAATTCTGAGATTAAAAGAAATAATCTCTTATCACATTTTAAAATCTGGTTTTCTGCCAGTTTCCACAAAACAGCTACAATTTGTGCCAATTCAGTAATTTTTAATTACAAATTATTTATTTTTCTGCTTATACTACTTTTTAAAACACAAATAGACACAATTACAAATTATTCTTTTTCTATCCTAAGATCCATTCTTATTAAGAACCTAGTGCTTACAGAGACATTTGCATTTCTTCCTGGTGTTCCAAAGTGCCTTACATAAAACGTGCAATTAAATTTAATCAGTAAACATGGCATTACATTGGGTCATGTATTTAGGTAATGATAGTCTACTCTCCTCAAAATTAAAAAGTAACAAGCAAAATAAGTAATGCTGAGAAAGCAAACATGTTGTAGTATCAAATTAAGTACGTAGAAGACGATTCAATAACAACTAAGTATAGAGTGCACACACTCAACGTGCTCACTTGTGCTAGGTACACTGAGCAATTCAGCCACACCACAATCTGGCCAGTAAAGCCTTTACTGTGCGCGGCAACATCAGGTTTTCGTGCTTGCATTCGCTATAAATTGCCAATGGCTTCTAATGCTACCCAGGTTATCTCACAGCTACGTAGCACCAGACTTGCTGGAGGCAGGGTGAACTTTAATGTAATAGAAACCCTGAAAATTACTTCCCCATATTATGATCTGATTTATGAAGGAAGTAGAGCACAAACAAAATAAATAAACACACCTTAATGAAAATGTAATCGCTGACAAATGGTAACAACAAAGGTGCTGCAGGAGGGAAGCGTAATATGCAGCTGCTGCACTCAGTAGCAATAATGTTCATAAGGAGACAAATGGGCTCAGCCAGCGTGGGATGGCTTTTATTCAGTGTCCAGAAGTGGAAGTTACCCTGTGTTTTTGGGGAAAATGAGAACTTTTAAGATCAGTGTCACCATGCAACTGAAACAGCTGTGGTGATGCTTTTGAGGAGGCCTTTGTTATTTCTTACAAAGGACAGAGAGAAAAATTGCAGTCTCCACAAAGGTTTCACCCCCACCCCCCATGATTTTTTCTGTTAGTGAACTCCACTGATGCCTGGTACAAAAAACATGCTCCCAAAGAGCTGCCATCAGAGAAAAACCAGGACAGTGGCAATATTTTTGATCCTGCTGAACACTCTGTGCAGAAACTGGATACTGAGCTTCAGAGAAGGGAATCAGCTGTGAAAAAATGCACCTGCTACTGAACATCTGTATTGGTGACCTGGTCTCTTGGCTCAAGGCTGCTTTCCCACAAAGCCATCCAGTCACTTGCCAGGTCCAGGGGTTATTAACATTCGAAATACATCTGATGACCCAGCTGAGGCAAGTAATATGAAGGCAGACAGAAATGAACTTTAGCACTGTTTAGTAATTTTAGAAAGAGATTAAATTCTGAGGTTATTCAAGTCCTAATTCTGTATTTTGCCAACAAAATTCCCCTTGATGCTATTCAGCACACGTTGGAGCTCTTTATATCTTTCTTAAGAGGCAGAGATCATTTTCTGATTAAGTGACTACTATGAACTCTAAGGGTGGGTATTTTAAAACCCGAGAATGTATTAAGAACTGTAACTGAAGGAAGATTTTCTCATTTAAGTCTCAGGCAAGGTTAAAGAAAGAAGAATCCTCTCCAGCTGAAAAGTAATTTTCAGGATGAAGTCAGGGGCTGTTGTTATTTGTAAGTAAGAAAGGAACAAAAATCTGATGCCAAGTGTTAGAACAAGAAGGTACTTCCAAGGAGACTGCAAATTGGGGAACGGAAGATGGGACCTTGCACTGTTAAGTGGCAGCAGTTCAGCTCCAGGTTAATAGAAGCCTTGAATGCATAAAAATTTCTTTATTTGCAGTCTCAATTCTTGTCTTAGTGAGTAGGTGCCCACATCTCGAGCCAACAGGTATTCACATACACTGTTTCAGGAAACCTGTAAGGACACCGACCATACACACTGATCTGAGAACAAAATGTTTAAAAAAATCTAAGTGATTTGGAGAACAGAGATGACAATACACAATTTCCTAAACTTACTGAATTGTGTTAGAACTTCATGTTTAGTAAAATACATTTGAATTGCATAAAAGCAAGATTGTTTCAGTGTATACTTTATTGAATTAATTTAAGAAAATGTTAGGAATTCCTGATACTATTTTTAACAAATTTTTAACGAGCAAAAGTCAAAGTGCATGAAGGGGAAAAATACATACCCACACTAAGGAAGAAAGAGAACAATCCCTAGCACAAGAACATCCCACAGCACAACTAAACCTACTGGCCCCTTGGTGTAAGTGGTTCAGTCTATTTCCAGATCACTGTCTTCACTGTAACATGCAGATGGATTATGTATAGAAGTCAGGAGCACTAGGTCTTTTTCTGGAAGCAAACCACATTCCTGCAGAAAAGCCTCCAGGTCTACAGCAAAAAAATCTTCTCCAAGCTGGTCAGTGATTCGCACAAAATTGCCGATGAGCTCACCTGCCTTATAGATCAGCAAAGCTGGCAAAGCATTATTAGTAAAGCGAGTGCTAGCACCAATGAGCGAACTTTTTACTCTGCAAAATTTAACTGTTGGATACTCAGCAGCCAGGCAGATCATACAGCCGTTCAGGGATTCGGTGCCAGGGATATCATCTTCATAAATATGGATCATGATCAGTGTGCTCTTACGCTCTTTATCAACTGTGTCCAAAAATGCTTCCCCACTGGTAATCTCAAAAACCTGTTTAAATTGCTGCCCACTGTACAACTGCTGCCTCATCTCCTCCATTCGCTGCTTCCTGTATTGCTGTAAAAATTCCTCATCATCTTCATCATTGTGAATCATGTTATATTCTTGTAACGTCATCTAAAAAACATATACAAAGAAACATGGAAAAGAGAAAAAGATCTCCATCACTATATGGGTCACTTAAATAATGAGAATTTAAATCAAGAGGATTAATGTGGGTCACTCATCTTTAATAACAGCAAAGTGCAACCCATGAAGGCTCAAGCACCCTCTGTATTACACTCCATTTTGATCTAATTAGAAACCATGTCCAGTGGGAACAGCAATTTCAGCCTTGGGTATTCTAGTTTCCACAAACTGCACTAATAACACAAGTGGCTGCTCCATGCTCCCACTTTAATTCAGGTTAATGGTGGCTATGTGCTTTCACTAAGCTACGAGCACTGACTTGGATACCGTGCCTGACCTAAGCCTAGCTTCCTTTTCATCAGCTTTTTTGTTTAGTTTTTCAGTTAACATTTGGTGGCAACCAAATGCACTATCTTGTCTGTAGAACTAAAACTAACAGGATTTTATGTGTTTTGTATCTGTTCACTTGATTCGTTAAACATATTTGCATCACTCAAGGTATAGGACAGTGTGGCCAACTTTCATCATCTGAAAGCACTGTCTGCTAATTAGTAACTTCTCTGACTAGAACTGTAAGAGCTAGTTATACAGCCAAGTTGATTAAAACCACTCACTACTTCCAACGCCTTCTACTTTTGGAAATCAAAGACAAATTCTCAACATCCACTTACTAAATAAGAAATCAATAAGGACTCCTAAACTCTAGTTGAGACATGGGAGGCAGTATTCATAGGTTTGCTATACAACTTTTCGTATTAATCCCCTGCAGTTGAACTTATTTGAGAAACAGATAAGGGAAATCTGGGAAAAGGATTTGGACTTCCTCAGTATAGCAGCTGAATTGCTTATTTCTTAACACAGGCAAATGCAATGCTCCTGGAATACCACTAAAATGCAAACTAATTAAACTTGACAACACCTGGCAAATACAGTTATAATGCACTTCTTATACCACTGCTGTGTTCCTATTTACTACGGAGAAAGAATACTGATAGAACAAAGATTCCCATCTGTTTAACGCACACAAATGGTGAAACTGAAAATGTTAAACATTTAAGTGGCATTTTAATTCCCTCATGCCATGCTACCTTTCCATTGATTTTTTCCTGAAGCTCTTTCTGCTTCTGCTTATCAGTCTCTTCATCTAAGTGAGATCTACATGTCATAGATAACTTTTTAATGAGTCGTTCCATTTCTCTGCGCTGCTCCTGCCGCTGTTCAGTTTCCAGTTGTTTAAATCTTCGCCAGTCATTAATGACTCCTTTGGGACCTGAAATTAAATATGTTGGCATTTCGTATAAAAGGGTAATAAAATTACACCTATCATTTGAAATTCAAGCAATAATTTGTAAGTCAGCAGTAAAATAGTGGCCTTGTCATAAACTTTGTGTATACTGTGCAAAATGTTGAAATTAAATGAAAGAAGTAATTTGCCATTTACATGTCCTCAAGCTTGTATCTATTTTTTTTTCCTAAGAAGACTAAAGTTTATCTAACTAGGCTAGTCTCATAATTGTCCCAAAGATTATTCCAAAGATTACTATCTGTGCTCTTGAAATAGAACCACCAGCCCTCAAGAATTCCCCTATTGTTAGCATGGCTTTTCATAAAAACAAAAATAATGGTGGGAAACAATTAAGTCTGCCAATGCTCCTGTACAGAAGTACATTCTGTGGTGTACCAATCGTGTTAATTCTTATAGACTGCACCTTGCTGATACCTTGCTGCTGGGGCCCAGTGGAGTTACTTTTTCAGGTCCTCTCTAAGTATGCCAGTTTAGCACTATAATTCTTCCATTCTTCCTTCAAGTGAAAGATGTGAACACATGCAGGAAGAAGATTTTTCATCATTCTTAGTGAAACCGTAAAACACAGAGGGCCAGTCTTTCATAAGAACGTAAGAAATACCCTCTGGATCACACCAACGATACACACAGACTCGTACCGTGTCTCTGACAGTGGCAGTTGAGAACGCTACTTTGGGAAAGCCGGGCCACTTTCTGTCTATTCCTCATGTACTCGTTCAGCACCTACCTTTTAGTGGTTAACAACTGTGCAGATTACAGGAAAGAAATGTATGCATTATCAACCAAATTGTACAAATCAGCTTTGTATGCAAAGCCTAACTGCTTTAGATAGAATGCTGAAGTTTCTCAGAGGAGAAGTCAAACATTAAAATAAAGAACCAGCTATTAAAAATAAGGTTAGACTATAGCCAGGAAATGATCAATCTCTGACTCAAGTACGCATAAAAATGGGACTTTCATTTAAAAAAACGAACTTGAGAAAAACACAAGAATTTTCCAATAAACAAAGTATTTACAAAACAGTTAGTCTGATATGACGATACCTGTGTTGACTGCACTGCCATCGCTGCTAAGCTCTACTTCCCCAACGCTTTCAGGAATGGTGCTCTCCCCTTCTTTATCTTCTTTCTCACTGTCTTCATCCTCACCCTCACTACTGCTGTAATAATACTGGAGCTTCTCACCAAGTAGTTTATCATCCAAAGAAGTCATTATGTCCTATAAAATAAATTAACAAAATAGAGAATGTATCTTTTATTCAAATATGCAGTGCGAGATACGACTTTAAATGCATAACGATATACCTTTACTTCCTCAGAGCAGTTTTTTAGCCTCATAAGAACAGTTTACAGCCCACTATCAAACAGCCTGCAGTGCAGTCAGTCACGTGAGTTAACTCTCAGTCACAATTTCAAACTCACTTAAGTTAAAAACCTTTATGAATAGAACTGCTTTGAGGCTCACTAGTGCAGAAACACTTTATGTGTGTTCTCATTCATAGAGAATGAATTTTCTAAGCGTGTTTCAGGAGTCGTACCAGCCTCACTCAGACCGCTCCATGAGGCTGATTTCCAAGTTATTGAAATTTAAATTTCCAGTATTATTTGCATTATTTTAACCATAATTTATTTCAGCAGAAAAATCATCAATGTAATTAATCAAATTAAAATGTTCTGACCTTTATTCCTTTTCAGTCTTTCAGGGACAAGCTTCTATCAAAACCTGGAAGAAGAAATTTCAGATTATATTAATTCAAATTGGCAAAGACAATCTCAAAAAAAACTTTTGCAGAAATCTGACATATTTAAATAACATAACACATACAAGGAAAAAACTTTAAAGAAAACATAACCATGTTCGCTGTTTAATAAAAAAAGGTTACTCTCAAACCCAGAAAACATACTTTCTAACTACTGAGACAGAACATACAAATGCTTAGCGCAGTCAGTGCTACAGCTTCATGACCATCACTTCCAGGCTAAGAAATAATGTATCAAAAGAAAGATCTTTGTGTCTGTCATCTTTTCACCTGTCCACTGACCACATCGGTCATCTTCACAGAAGTCACCAGCATCCTGTTTGTATGGACAACACTGAAATTAGATGCTGACACACTGATAAAGTGATTGCAACTACCCTAAAAATCCTCACTTTTCCCGAGTTAAACATTTTTTTAATCCAAAATACCTTCTGCTAAATAGAAATTAACAAGAGCAGAATCCACCCTTTAAAGCTACTGACAGCGTCAACGTTTACAGACTTTGTAAGCCTCTCACATCAGGAGAACAGAAAGATCAGATTTTTCCAAGTGATGGAAAGCTGAAGAACCTTAAGAGTTTGGGTCTCTCCCTCCACCGACTCCTTCCACCACAATCCTCTAAAAGAGCTGCTGATCGGATCTCATCCTGATGGAGATGTAAAATGCCCAAGAATTACTCTTCTTCCCTGGGTGGGGAGCGAAGGGTGCAGAAAGGAGTGCCACTAAGGACAGATATGTGGCTGTGGACCTGTCATGCACAAACGACATCTAAATGTCCACAAAATTCATTGAAAAAAAAAAAGCCATTTCAATCAAATCGGTTGATTTGAGCTCACACTTAATTCTGCAGGACTCTACAAGTCAGCGCTATTAACGTATATTTGACAAAGACACCCCGAGCAACGTATGGATAAAGCAGGGCTTTTAGTTTTTCTGCCAACCGCTAGCAGGTTCTGCAAGAGTTAAAACCAGACTAAGCAGATTATCGAGGAGGTGGCCAGATGGCCCAGGATTACTGAGATTACTTCTCAGAGCACTGCAGGGCGACTCGGAAGAGGCACCCCGAATCCAGGGGGCAGCCATACCCGCGGCATGCCGACACGCCACCACGTACGTTTTTATAAATGCGGATCCTCAGCCGGGGCCACCGGACGATGCAAAAAGGCTGAAAGCAAAAGAGCTTCGTTTCGGCAGAGAAGGGCGAGTGCTCTGAACCCCCATTCCCAGCCGCCCCCTCAGCGCGGCCGAGCCCCCCGCCCCGCTCAACC